ACACACACACACACATATATATATATATATATATATATATATATATATATATACACACACATACACAAACACACACACAGGCCCACATACACACATGCACTTATACACATGGATTCACACTCATGTACACACATGTGCATGTACACACACACACATCCATCTCCCATCAGTAACCTCTCACTCTCATAAAAACAACCAGAAGAATGACCTCTTTCTTCCAGCTCTAACATTCTTTGAAATTCTAATTCTTTTCTTCTTTGCAGTGAATAAGGAGGCACACCATGCGGAACTATGATATTGTGACCTCCTCCATAAAGTGGATGCAGGCTATTAACTCCATGCCTTCTGTGCCCAAGGTTCTAGCCATTAAATATTAAGAGTTTTGCCCCCCTCCTGTTCCACCAGTGTGTTTTAGTTAACTCTGTGCTTTCTGTTTTGCTTCTTCCTGTCTTCTGCCAATAGCATACAAAATAAAACAATATTAACTCCATGCCTTCTGTGCCCAAGGTTCTAGCCATTAAATATTAAGAGTTTTGCCCCCTCCCCTGTTCCACCAGTGTGTTTTAGTTAACTCTGTGCTTTCTGTTTTGCTTCTTCCTGTCTTCTGCCAATAGCATACAAAATAAAACAAGAAGTTCAGCAAACTTCTCTTACATATCTGGATCAGGTTTCTACTCACAAGTTCAAGAAAAGCTATTAAAAATTATTTAGCAAGAATACATCTTGATATGACTCAGTAGACAACCGAGCAAAATGGGCCAGATCTCACCCAGAGTTCAGAGTCATTTCTGTGAAGGAACTACAAATGTAAGAAAATGGAATGCAGTACCCATGTCAAAGACTTGTAGACTATATATTTTAAAAACTGTGAAATAAGCCTTAAGCAACTCAACTTAGGAGCTGTTTTATAAAACATGCGCCTCAGACATTTCTGCCCACAGAATGAAATACTACAACAATCGCTTGTGTTGCATAGGGAAAATGGGAAAGTAAAATCTTCCAGAGAGGAGATAATTTGTTATCTCTCTTTTTGTCTTAAAAGTCTGACTCATAGAGCTACAATATCATTATTGATTTTCCAGATACTTATTTTTTTCCTGAAGAAATCACCATTGTGCATATAGAATTGTCCTAGTGAGATGAGGATAGGAGATAAGAGGCTACAACATTGCATGGGTAGAGAACAAGGTTGTGCAGGATGTTGAGTTTATTAGAGGGGCGTCTCCTCACCACAGGCCACTCCATGCTGGTAGAAGGGAATAGCACGGGCTCTGTTTGGTCATCAGACACTCCGGCAGGTCAGTTCCTGCCTCTGCCTCCTACTAAGCTGTCTGGCACAGGGGAAGTTATTTAACCTTTCTTTCACACCAGCTTTTAATCTATAAAATGTGAGTAACAGTAATGAGTATTTCATGGAGTTTTTGTGAAGATTGAGTCAGTTTCTGCGAAGTACTGAGTGTTTTGCCTAAAATTCAGCAATTAAGTGAGGCTATTTATCAACTTTTTGAGGTGGGGACTATTACTCGGCACTGCCCATCTACTCCCTGGTGTTCCCATCCTCAGGTAAAGCCCCTGATAAATGGGGCAAGGCAGAGAAGTACAGATCTGCCACGTTGGCTCATGAAAGTCAGACTTCTTTCCCTTAAAAAGGTCTAGCTCATCGAGTCCCCTTGGGATGCCCTTCTTATTTACACAGCCCAGCCACTTTCCACAATGTGGTATGGCACTGAAATGTCATCTCTGGGGTAAGATGCTATACAGAATTAATTTATGTTCTCCAGTCACATTGCAGCTGTCAAATCCAGAGACAATTCAAAATAGAGGCATTATAGTCTCTCCTAATCTTCACAGCATAACTCTGCTCTTTAGGCTATTTTTTTCCTACATTTTCAGGGCCATGATACAACGGCAGCTGGGATAAACTGGTCCTTATACCTATTGGGTTCTTATCCAGAAGTCCAGAAAAAAGTGGACAATGAACTGGATGAAGTGTTTGGTATGTTGTATAGTCATTTATTTTTTCCAAATGAATTTTAATTTCTCTCAGATTGCCTCTGGTACGTAAATTTGGTCTTCTAAAAGCTCACAAGTTCTTTTACCATAGGTTCACATTTTTTATATCCTCTGCAATTTCTAGTTCATTACTGGTTGCACAAACACTTTTTAATGTCACAATTAGTAACACAATCATTATTACTAGAGCCTTTGTTCTGCTTCTAGTGTTTTCTGCATATTCCTCCTCACTGTTCCTTCTATCCCCAATATCAGTTCTAAAATTTTTGAGCAACTAATCTTTGGGTATTGAGTTGCAAGTATCGATTTCTTTGTTATTTTTTTTAATTGATGTAAATGTCACATAACATAAAAGTAACCATTTAAAAATGTATAATTCAGTAGCATTTACTACGTTCACAATTTTGTGCAACGGTCACCTCTACCTAATTCCAAAACATTTTTAGCACCCAAAAAGGAAGCCCTGTACTAGAAGCATACGTTCTCCATTTCCCCTTCCCCAACCCCTGGAACCACTAATTTACTTTCTGTCTCTATGGGTTTGTCTGTTCTGAGTGCTTCCTATAAATGGAATCGTACATAATGTGACCTTTTGTGTCTAGTTTGTTATACTTAGTGTATTGTCTCATTTTATTTTGAATATACATAGTATTAGAAATTCTACTTTGGCTATGGTTATTGAACATTTGGGGCTTTGACTCATGCATGCCTCTTTGATGTCTCCACTTCCAAGCCCAGATAGTCCTTTCAGTGTTGTCTTATATGCTTACTTTAATCAGGGAAGTATAAGCGTCCTGCTTCCTTAGAAGACCTGAAGAAACTCAAATATCTGGAGTGTGTTATTAAGGAGACCCTTCGCCTTTTTCCTTCTGTTCCTTTATTTGCCCGTACTCTTAATGAAGACTGTGAAGTGGGTAAGTGTTCTATAATTAGAATAGCAGGGAGAGTGAACTTTTTAAAATGTCTATCTTATTCCAGTCTGATGACATATTGATGACCTCTTGACAGCAGGTTACAGAGTTGTGAAAGGCACTGAAGCAGTCATCATTCCCTATGCATTGCATCGAGATCCAAAATACTTCCCCAATCCTGAGGAATTCCAGCCAGAACGATTCTTTCCAGAGAATGCACAAGGACGCCATCCATATGCGTATGTGCCCTTTTCTGCAGGACCCAGAAACTGTATAGGTTTGTATCCACCCAAATTGGTTTGATCTTTTAGGCCACATGATAGTGGGTTTCTCATAATAATTTCTTTGAGATGTGGTGTGACATTGCCTGTATGCAACAGCCTTAAAAAGACTGGTTTTCTTTTTTCCTCCACTTTACATTATAGTTTTAAAATGTGGCTGTCAGAAAGTGTATTAGTTTCCTAGGACTGCCAGCACAAAATACCATAAACTGAGGGCTTTATACAACGGAAATGTATTGTCTCACAGTTCTGGAGGCTGCAAGTCTGAGATCAAGGTGTCGGCAGGGTCGGTTTCTTCTGAGGCCTCTGTCCTTGGCTTGTAGATGGCCATCTTCTCCCTGTGTTTTCACTTAATCTTTCCTTTGTGTGTCTATATTCTAATCTTCTCTCCAATCAGATTGTATCAGGGCCCACTTTAATGACCCTCTTAACCTTAATTACCTCTTTAAAGAATCTACCTGCAAATACAGACACATTCTGAGGTACTGGGGGTCAGGACTTCAACATATGAATTTGGCAGGGGGTGGGGACACAATTCAGTGCGTAACATAAAGTATAATCAGTTTCATGGTGATTTCGGATTAAAGTAGAATATAATTTATTGTGGTAGAAAATTCATTTATATGATTAATTATGTTTAACCTAACTTTTGTGTTTCTTGCTTTTAACACTTGCATTTTGTGAAACCAAAACAGAGAATGTTTGTCGTATGGTCAGTTGAAATACTTAAACAAAGTGAATGCACACCACCGTGCGTTATATGATTAATTATGTTTAACCTAACTTTTGTGTTTCTTGCTTTTAACACTTGCATTTTGCGAAACCAAAACAGAGAATGTTTGTCGTATGGTCAGTTGAAATACTTAAACAAAGTGAATGCACACCACCGTGCATTACAAACACTTTTGACTTTAGTACAGTAGTCCCCCCTTGTCCTCGGGGATATGTTCCAAGACACCCAGTGGATGCCTGAAACCGAGGATAGTATTCAACCTTATAGATACTATGCACAAATTTCTTTCTCCTTCTTCACAATTTTGCAGATAGACTTGTTCTTACTATAGATTTTAGCAACCTCAGCCTATGGGTTTTTTTTTCTTTCCTTATTGAGAACTTTCACCTTTTCACTTACAGGATGCACTTTATGGCTTCTCTTTGGCATATCCAAATTGCCAGCATCACTACTTCTGTGCTTGGGGGCTATTAAATAAAATAAGGGTTCCTTGAATACAAACTCTGTGATACTGCCACAGTCGATCTGATAACTGAGATGGCTACTAAGTGACTAAGTGGCAGGGAGCATATACGGTGTGGATCCACTGGACAAAGGGACAATTCACATTCTGAGTGGAACAGAGCAAGAGATTCTCAAGCTTGAATGAGCCCAGGATTCTTCTGGGATACTGCTAAATCACAGATTCCCTGACCCACCCAGCTATTCAGAAACATGGGTGGGAGCAGGACAGGGTGCTCAAGAATCTTTGTTTTTAACAAGCATCTAAGTGATTGGTTCTCCTAGGGCCTACTGTGAAAATATAAAATTGCTTGCTTTTTGTAATCAGGCCTCTTATTTCTCACATTTGATGTATATCTGTAATAAAAGTGATGATATTTACATTAATTTAAAGGTCAAAAGTTTGCCATGATGGAAGAAAAGACCATTCTTTCCTGCATCCTGAGGCAGTTTTGGGTAGAATCCAACCAGAAGAGAGAAGAACTTGGTTTGTCAGGTCAGCTGATTCTTCGTCCATGTAATGGCATCTGGATCAAGCTGAAGAGGAGAAATGCAGAGGAAGCATGAGTATATTATTGGAATGTGTCCTTATCATGACAAAGGTCCTTCTTCCAGAGAAATGTGGCATTTGCAATTTATGGATCATGAGCTCAATACTCTTAATCCCTAGACCTAACTTTTTCTTGTCCCCTCTGATCTGAGAGTCAGATCTACCAAAGAGAGAGTTTTTGTATTTTTGTCACCACCACAGACATTACACATGGTCTTGGTCCAAAAAGTAGAGTAACTGAGTCAGTACCCAAATAAACATACAAAAAGTTTCTCAACAGAGAGATCCACAAGCCAATTCAATTCCAATAGGAACAAAAGATGTAATTTAATTGAAGTTCCAGAATTTTTTAAAGGTATTCTTGTTGACTTGGGAACATATATATATAATTTGAACAAGTTGATTAATTGAGGACTTTAACTTAAGGGGCTTAAGTTTTTTGAATTATATCAGTGACATCAGTTATGAGAAGGATAATTATTACAGTACTTTCCAGATTGTATCACCTAGAGCAGATCGTTTACAAGTTGACCCATGGGTTCTGTTTGTTTCCCTTTTGACTATACCTTTAGTTCATCTTTTGTAGAATCACGATCACCATTATAAATCATATATTATTGGAAGAGATTCTTCTTGGTAATTTCCAGACCCTCACAGTGCCTCGTACGGTTGATTTATGGCTTCTGGAGCTGAAAAGACCTTAGAACTTATCTATCTGTACTCCCTATGTTAGAAGTAAGGGAATGAAGTCAACAAGAAGGCAAGTTTCTGCCCAAAGTCATGCTGCTAGTTGGTGATAGGGCTGGAAATACATAGAAGTCTATGCTCTAAATCTCTCCACTCCCATTGTGATATACTGTTTACTACAATATGCTACTGCTTTGCAGAACTTAGGTCTATCACTAGATGTGTCATTAGAACACAGGTCTTCTTCCGCTGCTTTAGTCATATTTTTTCTGAAATTCTTCCATCTTTAAAGGAAAAAAAAGCTATTCATTTATATTTAGTAAACCAGTAATACCTCACTGAGTTTAGGGTTAGACCTCTAGTTAATTCAGTTCAACATACCTATCAAGATGGTAACTGACATGCATTCTCTGAGTTTTAATTCAGTAGACATACTCTACTCTCTCACTCAGTGATTTTTAAAACTGTTTTTAATAAAGAATTTTAACAAGATTACTTTCCCCCCCAATTTTCCCAAGGCAATAGCAGATAGAAGTAACACATCAAGAGAGTAAAATATGTATTTTTCAATCAGAGGAGGAGGTTACGAAACCAAAGCCATTTGACAAGCACTATAGCCTGGAGCATTTAGAGCATGATCGGCAGCAGCTGTGTATGCTTAGCTACCCCAGAGAGCCCCAGTCCATACAACATGTCCCTAAGTTGATGAGAAAAAGTCAAGAAAGTAGATGATACAATTGCAAAGGATTCCCATCAAATGCTTAACCTTGTTATCTAGAAAATGGGCATATGTAGAAAATCTTGTTCGCAGTTGAATTTGGATAATTGAAAATCATTATTATCTCTCAGTTTTATGTACTTAATTTAACGCTTGCCTATTAAAAATTTTTAGTGATCCTACATTAGACATGCAATTAAATTTGAAGTAAAACCTCTCTTAATGGGCTATTTTTTATTTTCGGCCTAAAATCTTCCTTTGGCCCCAGAATAATTTTTTTGACAATTTTTTTTTTTAGTGAAACATAATTGATTATATATGTTTGTGGGGTACAGATTTGAATATCAATACCTGTATACAATATGCAGTGATCAAATTAGGGAAATTAGTATAGTCACATTTACAAAACGTAATCAGTCTTTATGACCCTTAATCAATTTCTTGCTAACCCCCACCCCCTCCCCTAGACTAATTTATTACTCATATTTTGATTGGTAATTCCTTTAAATCATACCAGAGTAGGAACTGAGAAATTATGTCATGTTCAGTAGTATCAAAATGTGGATGCTGATTTTTTTTTTTAAATAAGAGGATCAGATATCTGTTTGTGTTCCTATTACCTGTCTTACTTCTGCATGAAAGAGATATCTCAAGAAAAGTAAATTACATTTTAGACATGGGAGTTACATTTTATTCTAAGAATTGATGTCAATTTGAAATACAGATAACTTTAAAAGCTAAGTCGGTGGGTGGCTGGCTTATAATGGGTAATAAAAGAAATGGCACTGTTGAGTTGATGTCATAAGTAACACTTGGACTTTCTAGCAAGATATTCCTGTGCCGTTGTCATAGACTGTGAATTTCCATGACTCTGAAGAGGCAACTAGAGGAGAAGTAGAATAAGCAGAAACCACGAGCATCATCGGGTCCCCGGGATTTAGAGTCTAAAAGTCTCTCCAGGTGATGGACTGGTGATTTGAGTCTCTTTGTGCTCTACTCATTGTCACAGACAACTGAGGGATGTTAATTTCTGGACCAATTGACCTGTCTCACAATTAAGAGATGCTGGTCACAGAAAGGGCTGTTCTCATCCTTTTGCGTCCCCAACATAGAACCACATATTTGCAGTGTGTATAACTGGAGCTGTCATGTTCTTAGGCAATCCCGCTTTCTCAACTTAAGTTGAGTAACCCAAGTAGGGTCAAATCATAATTCTTCCCTTGGTTTTCCCAGCTGGAATTGAAGAAGAGATACAATCAGTCTCCTTTGGGAGAAACTTTAGGTTTTGAGGCTCAGGATCAATCAGCAGTTGAACCTCAGGAGCAGCTGCTAGGAGACGGAATGAAGGTGAAGAGTGGAGAAGAAGCAGAGAGAAGAAATGGAGAGGATCCTGGGGTCTGAGGTCCATATTCCAGATGATGCTGAGGTTCAACTGCATGTCTGCCCTGCCCACTGCTCAGTTGCTCAACCCTCCTTTGGAACCTAAGAGCCGGTCCATTGCCATTTTGCTTAAGTCAATTGTCTTTCGCTTATAACCAAAAGCAACTAAGCATTGTCAGATCAGCTGCAGAATGAGGAAAGGGCCCCCATGGTCTGGACATGATCTTAGGTTTTCACACTATTTTCTTCATGCTGTTGAATAACTTTCCTCTAGGCTGGATTATCAGCACATTTGTCTGCTAGCCATTTAAATGCAATAGCGTTTGAGAAAATGCAATTTCTTTTCTAGATAGTAGGAAAATTAGAGGTACAGTGCTTCATTTTAGAATATAGCTAGGTTTAGCCTAACACAACAATCTAGTTTCTTGGCTCCACCTTGATGAATCCCCAATCTAGTTATTTATTTTTCTCCTTCCTTAATTAAACTGGGTTCATCCTAATTTTCTTTCTGACTAGGTGTATTCCAGATTTCAGGGACAAATCTCTCATCTATAATTATTGAAAATGAACTGGTTGCATTCTGTCCTCAGTTTCTCATCCAAATGTTCACCTAATAGTTATTTTTTTGGAGCTTTTGGTCCAAATTTAGTTTCTAAATTAACTCCAGCACTTAGCTATTTCTATTCCTGTTCTT